ACAATGAAAGGAAGGCTGAAGGGACTGTGAGGTCTGGGAAGTGTCTGGAAAACACTTCGCGTCGCAGAAGCCTATGGTATCAGGATATGCATATTGGTTTTCCTCCAGGTTCTTGGCTGCCAACGCCCACATTCCTTGTTAGAATGCTGGGGTGCTTTAGGACTCAGGAAACAGAATCTCTCTCTCTGACCTTCTGTTTTTCTTTCACCTGCTCATGATGGGATGCTAATCTGTTTGTGGATCAAACAGCCCTCATTAGGCCTGGTGCGGTGGCTCATGCCTGTAATCCCAGCACTTTGGGAGGCCAAGGCAAGCGGATCACAAGGTCAGGAGTTCGAGACCAGCCCAACCAACATGGTGAAACCTCGTCTCTACTAAAAATACAAAAAAATTTGCAGGATGTGGTGGTGCGTGCCTGTAGTTACTCAGGAGGCTGAGGCAGGAGAACCCCTGAACAGAGGTGGCCGGAGTTGGCAGTGAGCAAAGATCATGCCATTGCACTCCAGCCTGGGCAACAGAGCAAGACTCTGTAAAAAAAAAAAAAAAAAAAAAAAAAACCTCATTCCACAGAAGGTCCTGCCCCATACCCTAGAGGAAGGAATGCTGCTTAGAAAGGCCAAGAAAAGTCTGAGCAGGCAGGTCTTCCTGGGTTTAGGTCACGTGCTTTCTGTCCAGTCACATTTCCGCATGGTCAAGCACACCCGTGCATTGCAGCCTCCATAAAACCCCACAAGGACAGTGTTCGGGAGCTTCCAGATACCTGAACCCATGGTGGCTCCTGGAGGGTGGCATGCCCAGGGAGGGCACAGGAGCTCCAGGCACCTTCCCCCATACCTCGTCCTGTGCCTCTCTTTATCTGTATCCTTTGCAATATACTTTAAAGTAAACTGGTGAATGTGTGTCCCTCAGTTCTGTGAGTCGCTCAGCAAATTAATCAAACACAAAGTGGGAGTCGTGCGAACCCCTACTTGAAGCCAATGGGTCAGAAGTGCTGGAGACCTGGACTGATGTCTGAGGGCTGAGGAGCACTCTTCGAGACTGAGCCCTCCCACTGTGGGATCTGGTCATATCTCCAGGTAGATAGTAAGTAGACCCATGACACAGTGACCTCAGGTCTGATGCCCACACAGGGCGTGAGCTGCAGGAGCTCCCAAACCATTGTCTTTGACTGATGGATGTCTGTTTGTGGGTTGTCAGTCAAAGACATTGGTATTCACGACAGGCAAGATTGCCCTCCAGAGCTGCACTTCACGGAGCTGTTTACTCACCGCGGGGTGCCATTCCTTTGAATGTTCTTAGGCTCTTTACAAATGTTAATTTCTTTATGTCTCTAACTCATGGTTAGGTAGACGGTAAATGTTCCTTCAGGTGATAAGTATATTTAGCACCCAGAGTGGTGGAGGGGCAGGTTCAAAAATCACACAGAAGCCCACTGGGGCTGACTGTATTTGTCATCAGGACCAGTATGTGTCGCCGAGAGTTAAAATGTTACTTTGTCACTCTTTCAAGCTAAATGTCAAGAAAGCAATTAGGGATGACCCAAAGGCTTGGAGGCTGGGAACAGCCCAGCCATCCGGGAGGCTCCCTGCAGCTGGTGCAGGCTTTAGGAAGGATGGTGAGAGGTGTACCAGGCAGGCAGGTGTCACGGCTGCTTCCCGACACCTTACCTTGCACCAAGTAAGGTGTGATGTGACCACACCACTGTTAGCAAAGAGGAAACAAAGATATCAGGGTTCTGTGATGCCAGCCAGGGAAGCAGGTGGTGAATGATTAGGAGCCCGGCTGGGGACCATGTGGGAGACAGCCTGGGGACAGAGAGGTGTTGATCCAGAGGACAGACCTCCAGAGATAAAAAGGGCCTGGCAACGGATGTGGGTGAGGGCAGAGGTGAGGGGTGAAGGAAAGTGGCCATCTGCAAGCCAGAGGATACAACAGGAGAAGAGGTCTGGAGAGAGACCGGGTGTGTGCAGGATCTCCCATCTCTGGTCACTGCTGTGTCCTGCGGGCAGCTCAGCCATCTAGAAAAAAATGAATTATCTCCCCTCTTCATGGCTGCCTCCCTTCATAGGTGGGTTAGAATCACAGGACACCACAGCGGGAAGGAAGCTTAGCAACAGCAAATCAGCCCCTCTGTGGCAGAGAAGGGGACACCCATGGTCACTGGCACAAGGGCTGAGCTGTCAGTGGCAGAATCAAGACTCTCAGACCCAGAGCCCCAGGTGCCAGCCAAGGACATGTTCTCAATGCTTTCTTTGATGGCCTTCTTATCACCAAGACACTCATATCTGATTTCTCTCCCCATGGACCCCATGTTTTAAAAGATTTTAATTCACCAAACAACTCCATTTATTAAGTAATAATTTATTCATTTTCCCATTTTTAAAATTAATCAAAGATATACATAGCTGCCAGCCAGAGTCTCTAATCAGCAGGCAGTAACCCTTATTACTACCCTGGGTTGATTTAATTTCTGCCAAAAGCAAAGAAACTTGACATTTTAGATAGCCTGAATAGCTTCATTGTGCGTAAGTGGAGGTTTTCCATTACACTTAGTGAAATATTCAAAATAGCTCCCAGACCCTGGTCAATAATTCATGGCGCCCTTGGCCTCCAGGGACCCCTGTTGGGAACCACTGCACCGTATTATTTATGCAGGAGGTGAGAGGCAAAGGGAATCTCATTGTCCTAGAGTCTCAGCAGCAAACTGTTAAGGGATCTGTGGCCTGGATCCAGCCAGGAGCTTTGGACTAACCAGTCAGTCTTCCCTGAGCCTCAGGTTTCCCATCAGCAAGGTGAGAATAAGATATCAGTCCAAGTTCCTGGTTGCCAGCAACAGAAATAAACTCTGCTTATATTAAGCAGAAAATAATGTATTTTAAAAAAGTACTAGGAAAAATAGCTCGGCAGTTCCTACACAAGTTTAATGTAGAATCAATACATGACCTAGCAATTCCATTCCTAGGCCCATACTGGAAAGAATGGAAAATAGATCTCCAAACAAAAGCTAGTACATGAATATTCGTAGCCTCTCTATGCACCATCGCCAAGAGCTGGACACAACCCACTGCCCATCAACAAATGAATGGGTAAACAAAATGTAATATATCCATGCAACAGGATGTGGTTTGGCTGTAGAAAGGACTGAAGCTCTGATATGTGCTACAGCATGCATGAGCCTTGAAAACATTCAGGGAGAGAAGTCAGACCACATAACGTAAGATTCTGTTCACATCAAACATCCAGAAAGGGCGAATTCTTGGGGACAGATGCACTAGTGGTCGCAAGGGACAGTGAGGGGAAGGGAGGAATGAGAGCGACTGCTTCACAGGGTTTCCATTTGAGGGATGAAGTGCTAGAAAGTGGTGATGGCTGCACAACGCTGAGAAAGTGTTTAATGTCACTAGATTGTACACGTGACGTCCGGTGAGTCGCAGAGCCGCTGGGTGCGTGGGAGCCACGCCTGTAACTGGTCCTCAGGGACACTGTTGCTGCAGCCGCTGAGGGTGCTAAGAGTACCAGTTGCTGGGTGCTGTACCTGCACCACCCACCCAGGGTCTCCATGGCCTGCAGCTGTGCCAGCTGCCCGAGAGAGAGCCTTGGGGGTCCCTGGGACTCTGGGCAAATGCATCTGACTGGCTGCCTCACATCCCACCCTACACTGCGAGGAAGGCTGAGGAAGCAAGTCCCTGGCATTCTTATCTTTTCCCACCGAGACACTGGAGGGAGAATTCTCCCAAACACAGGAAGGCAGCAGAGAGGCGCTTCAGGACCACCAGCGTGTGCAGAGTTAATGCGTTTCAAAGACAGAAGAGAATCTGTCTGAGGAGTCTGGTTCACGGGGATAAGCAGGAAACACTGAGACAGGGCAGATCATGATGTCAATATTGCTCTCTAAAGGGTTCTTTGTGGGCAGCAACTCTCCCTCCCCTCCTCAACCTCCTCCAAACGTCCCCCACCACCGCCACCACACAAAAACTCACTATTCAGAGACGACTGCTGTCTCACCTTTCCTATCTAGCGGTTTCTAAACTTTGCACAAGATGGTAATAGCAGCTGGCCGTTCGTCTAGCGGACACTAATCCTTGCCTCTGGCTTCTGTGATGTGCTTTGCAGTTTAGCACAAGGACCTTGCTGTCGTCTACTTAGAAACCCAGTAATGGTGAGGTGGTGCTCAGGAGTAGATTGGGGCTGTGGGGACCTGGTCTGCCCTCTGCGCTAGGTGACAAAGCCCCTGTCTGCTGTTTGGGCACGGTCCCCACGGTACCATTCACAGCCCCTCCCAGCCCGGGGTTGGGGTGAGGCTCTATGGACCGTCTTGCCTCTAATCTCCAATACAGACAATTCCAGAAGAAAATAGAAGCAAAATAGGATGTGAATTAGGGTTTATTATTTTTTAAAAGGGTAAATTTTGATATAATTTAAAATTTTTACAAAAGCGGCAAATATAGTTCAAGGAACTCCCGTATACTATTTACCCAGATTCAACAATTGTTTAACATTTTATGCCATTTGCTTTTTCATTCTTCTCTCTTCCTTCCCCTCCCTTCCCTCTCCCTCTCCCTCCCCCCACAGACTGTGCCATTTGACCTCCAAATACTCCAGTGTGTATCCCCCAGAAACAAAGACCATCTTGTACATGAGCACAGTGTAATTATCAAAATCCGGAGACTTAACACTGATACAATATTATTACCTTAATCCTCAGCCCATAATCAAAGCTCATCCATTGCTCAGTAATGCCCATTATAGTTTTTTGGAGATCTTCAAGATGTCAATTTCCAGTTTCATTTCACTGTGGTCAGAGAACATGCTCCCCAAAATGTCAGCCTTTTGAGATTTACTACATATTATTTTCTGTTTCCTTCCTTGTCTCCTCAGCACTCCAGCTGGCTCCCTCTGGAAGCTTCCCTGGACCGTCTCCCACTCAGGCACAGCTAAGAGATCAGTGGAAGACCTGGGGGAAATTATACACAGGTTTTATGGCTCTCCTCCTTTGCTCCTTTTTTTTTTTAAGTCCTTTCATTTTCATTACTCAAAGAAGTTTCATTTTTTATTTAGCTTTCTGACTCTGTGCTTGTGCCTTCAACACTTTCACAATGATTTTCTGCTTCTCGATAAGGAAAGCATGCTTGGTCCTGTCACGAACACATTTAGCACACATGGAACCACCATAGGCCCAGCTGACATGTTTCTTTGTTTTGGACAATCTCATAAGAACTTGAGGTCATATAGCAGAAACCCCTCGAAGTCTGCCTGGGCACATGCCACAGGCAGATTTTGGTGCTTTCCCAACCTTCTTGGTATAAATGTAGACAATTCTATTACCAGGGCTTCGGGACAGCTTGGTTTTGTGAGAGGTTGTATTGTAGGAAAGCCTACAATATGGGTGTGTCAAACGCTGGACCATTCTGAGTGCCTGCAGACAACGTCCCGGGAAGAGCTCCCTTGTTCCTTTCAATCTGGTGTTTCCCCCCTCATTTTCCAGCCATTTAGGAATCCCTCTTCCATCCGTTGAGCCCTCGAGGTGGTGGGAGAGACTGTACTTTCTACATCAGCCCCAGCAGAAAGCCAGACAAATGCTCATCTCTTACAAATGGACGCTCTTCCAGTTTCTGCCTGCTCGTCCTCTTTCCAGTGACTTCAAATAGTTCTTTAAGAAAACGCTTTTTTTTTGGTCCAGAGTTTATGCATCAACACACACACACACACACACACACACACACACATACACACGCACAGACACGCACAGACACATATAATTAGGAATGCATCTTGTTTGTGCCTCATTCCATAATATGTTACTATTACTCAAAATAGTACGAACTCAACCCTAATACGGCAACTTTCAATTTTGGTTGGATTCATTGGATTCAGTTATTTACTTATCTGATTTCATTATTTCATGATCTCTCCTTAACATTTCATGAAGAGGTCTTTTGGGGACTTTAATATAAGTGACAACAGGATTCAGCGTGTTGAAACCAAACATATATGAAATGAACCAGATGCCATATGCTTAAACCTATGAATATGTCAACCAGCAATTCACTGGCGCATAAATGTGCAAATGAGGAAACGTGGTTCAAACACTTCAGCTTGTATTTTATAAAACAGTGTTTAAATATTTGACATAGTTTAGTAATATTTTAGGAAAATGGCCTACCTAGTCTGGATGATGTCTTCGTTTGCCGGGGTTGGTGTAAGGAAGTCGCACACACTGGGGCATGCACAGCAGAAGGTTATTGTTGCATAGTTCTGGAGGCTGGAAGTCCAGGATCCAAGTGTCAGGTTTGGTTTCTCCTGCAGCCTCTCTTCCTGGCTTGCAGTCTTCCCTCTCTACACGTCTGTGTCCTCATTGCCCCTTTTTAAACTTCTATTTTAAGTTCAGGGGTACAGATGCAGGTTTGTCACATAAGTAAACTTGTATCATGGGTGTTTGCTGTACAGATTATTTCATCCCCCAGGTACTAAGCCCAGTACCCGTTAGTCATTTTTGCTGATCCTCTCCCTCCTCCTACCCTCCACTCTCTGATAGGCCCCAGAGTGTGTTATTCCCCTCTGCATGTCCATGTGTTCTCGTCATTTAGCTCCCACTTACAAGTGAGAACAGGTGGTGTTTGGTTTTCTGTTCCTGTGTTAGTTTGCTGAGGATAATGGCTTACAGCTCCATCCATGTTCCTGCAAAGGACCTGATGTTGTTTTTCTTATGGCTGCATAGTATTCCATGGTGTATGTGTACCACATTTTCTTTACCTGGTCTATCATTAACAAGCATTTAGGTGGATTACATGTCTTTGCTATTATGAACAGTGCTGCAATGAACATATTGACGCACACTAATGATTTTAGATTAGGACACACCCTAATGGCCTCATTTTCATTGAACCACCCCTGTAAATATTTCAGAAGATCAGGACTTCAACAGTGAATTTGGGAGCACACAGCCCAACCCATAACAGATGGACAGTCTCTACTCCTGCCTGCCCTTGGTATATTAACTCATATTTACCTAACAAAGAGTAGAGGGAACTCTATCTTAGGAAGAATGGAAGCTGTGCCCTGGAGACCCAAACTCTGACAAGAAAGCCCATTCAGGGGTGCTGGAGATATAGGGGTGCTCCTCACATCCTGTGTCCTGGTGACTCCCTCGCCCCAGGAGGCAAAGGTGCAGGATAAACTTTCGCATGCTTCCATGCACTATTTCTTAGGACAGCTTCATTCTTAATCTGACCAGCATCTGCTTTATGATTTTTTTCTACTTAAAAATATTAGCAGTTGGGCCTGGCGCCGTGGCTCATGCCTGTAATCCCAGCACTTTGGGAGGCCGAGGCAGGTGGATCACGAGGTCAAGAGATGGAGACCATCCTGGTCAACATGGTGAAACCCTGTCTCTACTAAAAATACAAAAAATTAGCTGGGCATGGTGGCGCATGCCTGTAATCCCAGCTACTCAGGAGGCTGAGGCAGGAGAATTGCCTGAACCCAGGAGGCGGAGGTTGCAGTGAGCCGAGACCGCACCATTGCACTCCAGCCTGGGTAACAAGAGCGAAACTCCGTCTCAAAAAAAAAAAAAAAAAGTATTAGCAATCATGGTCAGGTGGGTTGGCTCATGCCTATAATCCCAGCGCTTTTGGAGGCCAAGGCAGGCAGATCACTTGAGGTCAGGTGTTCGAGACCAGCCTGGCCAACATGGAGAAACCCCATCTCTACTAAAAATACAAAAATAAGCTGTGCATGGTGGTGGGCACCTGTAATCCCAGCTACTCAGGAGGCTGAGGCAGAAGAATCACATGAATCCTGGAGCAGAAGTTGTAGTGAGCCAAGATCACGCCATTGCATTCCAACGTGGGTAACAGAGGGAGACTCTGTGGGATGACACAGCAAGGAGGCCCTCCCTAGATGCCAGCACCTTGACTTTGGACTTCCCAGCCTCCAGAACTGTGAGAAATAAATTTCTTTTTTTTTTTTTTTATAAACTACCCAGTCTCTGGTGTTCTGTTATGAGAGCACAAAACAGCCTAAGACACATACTGAACAGGTTTTAGTCTCCCCAGCCCAGAGAGAGCAGAGCCCAGTCATTCTCCTGCCTCAGACTCAGAGTCCTTATCACATGAAGGCAGGTGGAGACTTACTAAGGACTGGCCTCTTATAAAGAAAGAAAATTCTCATGCCCCTCCCCAGTGTTAACCAAATAAAAATATTTCTATTGTAGTGATACTTAAATATATGTAATTACACAATTAAGTCTAAATGCTGTCTTAGTCAGTTCAAGCTACTGAAACCAATTACCAAACACCAGGTGGCTGACGAGCAACAGAAATTTAGTTCTTACTATTCTAGAGGCTAGGAGTCTGCAATCAGGGTTCTAGCATCACTGGGTCCTGGGCAGTCTCATCCCCATGGCTCAGCCCACCCAGCCACTCTCAGGGGTTGGAACATGTGCCTGTGGCTCTCCCCAGCTGGCACTGCTTGCTGATGTGAGGTCCAGAGTCCAAAGGCTGGAGAACCTGGAGTTTCCGATGTCCAAGGGCAGGAGAAGAAGGGCACCTCAGCTCTGGTAAAGAGAAGGAGAGAACTTTGCTGTTCTACCTTTTTGTTCCATTCAGGCCCCCAGCTGGTTGGCTGGTACCTGCCTGCATTGAAGGCAGATTTCCCCACACTTAGTCCATTGACCCACAAGCCAGTTTCCTCAGGAAACACTCTAGTCCAAAGTAAAAGCAGCTGGGTGTCCCTTTCAGCAGAAGAGGAATAACTCAGTGCCTGCTGAAGCATTCAGACTAAATCGGGCTTTATCAGCTTTCTGAGAATTCCTTAATTCAGTCAAGGTGACACCCAAAGTCAACCATCACAAGCATTAATCCCATTATGAGGACTCTTCCATCATGACTTAATCACCTCCCAAAGGTTCCACCTCTTAATACCATCACCTTGGGGGTTAGGATTTTAACACACGAGTTTGAGGGGTGCGCAAACATTCAGTCCATTGCAAATGCCTTATGCGTATAGCTATTGTAAAATTATCAGTCCAAAGTAAATTGAAGAACTATGTAACAACAAAGCTATATGCCTTCCTACCTCCAACTGACCCTAGTTTGAGAAACCTTGAACAGAAGAATTTCAGCATCTTTTACAGTTTATAGTTCTTTTTTTTTTTTTTTTTTT